TATATTCGGATTCATATTCGTTTTGCGGTGTGTATGTGGCCAAAAAATTAACAAATCAGGTTGGTATCTGATCAGTAGAAATGCATGAAGTGACCAGGTGTAAACAGGCCGTCAGAATTTCTGATATTCTGTGATACACAATGGTGCTGATGCTAATATCTCCTTGAAATCTGGTTCACAGTCCTCAATGTTTTGTTAGTTTTTACGTCATTTTGCCCGTCCTGTATCTTTAAGAACTTGCATTTTCTGTACAGATTTTGTGAGAAAAGTCAGCAGACTTAATTTGGGCTGTAATGAATTTATAGTATAGAATGAAAAATGTGTTAAAATGTGGGACAGTTCATCCAAAAATGTTATTTACTCACTCTCTTGTTGTTCCAAACATTTATGAACAAAAGATATTTAACAAAAAATATATAATTTTAAAGGAACTCAAAAGGGTTTTTAATCTATATTCAAAACATCAAAAGTACTATATTTAAAGAACTTTCCATTTTAAGACAGCTAAGAATACTACACTCCTGTTGGTATCTGTCCTGTGTCTTTAAGGCATTTTTTACATTTTTCATGCAGATTTTGAGAGGAAAGTCAGAAGAATTCAGTGCAGTGAAATCACACAATGTCAAATGAGTTAAAATGTGTGATGTTTCACCCAAAGATGTCATTATACTAGTACTAACCCTCATGCTCCAAATCTATATGGACACAGAAGATGAAATTCAATGGGTTCCTTCCAATATTGTTTTTACACGACCTTCCAAATATATTACTTTCTATTCAGCAGAGGAAAACTCATACAAGTTTGGAACGACATGAGTGAACATTTATTATTGTTTTTTTTGGGTAAACTTTCCATTTTGAGACCTGAGAATGCTATACACATTTCTATTGGCATCTGAAAGCATATTCAATTTTCACATTTTGTTTACTAAATAAACACTCAAAGGACAGGGGATATGAAGTAGTTTGTGAACGACAGGCATTTCAGTCCTATAGCTCTGCAGACGCAGTTTCCGTGTGGGCTCAGCCATGAAGTCAACAGTTTGGTTCGGAGGTTTGATTTGTGGATCCGCTGAGGATTTACAGCGGCAGGAATTTGATATCATCATCTAACCGAGCTTCCCAAGGTTGGAGGGGTCATTTCACCCGCTCTGTGTGAACGTTGCATGTTTTAGAGTGTATTTCCTGCCATCTTTCACCCCGGTTATTATTTGTGGCTGGTTGTAAAAATGTACCTCGTTTAGGGAAAGTCTGGAACATCTGACAGGAATAAAAGCCCAGATGCACGACGGAGAGACATGCACATGTGCATCGCTCGAGTGATCAATAGCCGAAAAGTACGTGACCTTTACACATCACATCCTGATTAATGCGCACAAAACCACAATGGATTCGACATTGTTTTAATCACGTATACATGATTTAGAACTTCCAGAGTTGTTTTATTTTTTGTTTGACAACAGCTGTGTTATCAGATATTACAAATGGATAGTCAAATCTGTAAACCGTAAATCAGTTGCATCGTGGAATTTTACGGTCTGGATGCAATGCCACGAATGTTTGCTTTCGCAAGCCAAAGCCGAAGTTAGCCTCAATCCAGACAGTTCTGCGTGCCGAAGAGCAGATCGTACTTAAATAAAACCCTGGTGCTATTGTGCGTGATGGCGTTTTAAAAGTCCTGATGATTAGCGACTGGCACACTTCAATGCAGCTTACTCTGAGCGTGTCGGAGCAGGACAGGCAGAGAAAACAAACGCACCCATTCGAGAGCTTCTATCTGGAAAAATGTGCAGGGATCAAAACGAGATGTCAAAAGCTCAGGGTCGTGTTTTGAAGGCATAACGCTGCACCTGCGAGCAGATTTTCAGAGTTCCCCCTGAGGTCGAGGGAAAGAGTGTGGGCGAAAGCATCGATTTTTACAGCGTGTTCCTTCATCAGGCTTGCAAAATAAGCCCGGTTGAATCCCAGGTTATGGGAGTTGAAAGGCTCAAGTGAATATAAGCTTAACCTGCCATGACATTGCCACCTCAAAATGCACCAGATCCCACTGACGATTATGATCAGGTCATCGTTACGGGTCAACTGCCTTCCTAAATTACTTAGGTAACAATCACAATGTTTAAAAATAATAATCACAGTGAAGATTTGTGATATTACAACCATTTTCAGATCATTTTTGTTCACTATTGCAGGGGTGCAGTAGGTTTTGTCAAGTCAAATTGCATTTATTTATACAATACGCTCTATACAATACAATACTACAGTCCAGACATAATACTAAGATCATCTAACAAGTTTGTGCAGCTATTCCCCGTGCGCGTCTCAAATTGAAGGGTGATCATGCTTTCTCTGTCGCTGGTCCAAGATTGTGGAATAATCTCCCATCTTAATGTTTTTATCTTATTTGTTTTCTTTGGCATTTTAGTACACTTACATTTAGTTTTGATGTTTTCTCTTGTTGTTTTTGCGTTTTATTGTAATGTACAGCACTTTGGATCTACTGTGGTAGCCTGTATAAATACATGAACGAACGAATACAGATTGTTTCAAAGCAGCTTCACAGTAATAAACAGGGACATAACAGCATCAATGATGCAAACTAGAGCTGTATGATTAAATTGTTAAAAGATCACAATCTCGATTCAAACACCCACCCGATCTCATTCCTAAATGACAACGATTTGTCTGTCTATTACACCTTTGACAAAATCACACCGGACCATTCAAATCTGTGTTCGCGCTGCCACTGACCCAGAGAGATCAGTTATCATTTATGAAACGGCTTCACAAACAGTCTTTTCAATCACACTGTATCGTTATTTCTGTGTTACAAATATTCAAACTATCACAGAAGTATTGGGATAAAAGTTTATAGCTTGTATATAATCACTGATGTCTACGGTAGTGATCAAAATAGAGCAAATCCTTTTGAAAGTAACTTGGCGCTTCAAACTAAGATTGTATCGATTACATCATAATGCCAGTCGGTGGCGACAAGTGCCTTAAAAATGCATGTCATTAAATCATTCATTCAATAGATTCGATCAAAAACGTTGATTCATCCAGTAATGAAACAAGTGAAGTGCTTATGATTGAGTCATTGAATCATTCAGTCAAACTGTTATTTATATAAATTTACGCAGAGTCGTGCAGCTCCAATGCAAACTTCATCAGAGACAAAAAGACAGTGGTGTCATTAGTAGCTCAAGTCAGTTCGGTATTGATTCAGTTCAATAACTGTGTAAAGTTCATTAATCACGAAGCAAGTTTAGTTCAGTTATAAGCAGCTCTACAGAAGACAATAGAGTCATTATTCAGCTCGAGTCGGTTCAATGTTGATTCAATTCAGTTCAATAACTGTGTAAAGTTCATTAAACGTACAGTATGTAATTTTTGGCCACCAGGGGTCGCTAATCTCTTACAATAACAAAGGCGTATATCGATGACGCAAAGCATCAAGTGGAATTATGGATCTTGTCGTCAAGCTGATGGATCTTTTATGGATGAGTGAATACAGTGATGTTTTTAACATGACTGGTGTGAAGCAGGGCGCCATTGCTAATGAGAGACGTATACCAGCACCACATGCAACGCGAGTCCCGCGGATATAAAGGAATAAGAACATTTCATTCTACCGAACTACACGCAAGTGCTGAATTAATACTCACACAGGTCAGTTTATTAGACGAATTAAACTCGAGGTAACGCAGCGCTGTTTCACTCGCTCTAACAGTTACACTATCACACTAAACGGCATTTGAGTGTGTTGAATGTTGTTAGTTAGGTTGTTTGTCGGCTGTATGAGACTAGCAATAAGCTAGATCAACATTCGAATACGTTAGTTTTATGTACATTTGCTCACCTGTCTAATAAAGTACATGCAACACTCGCGTCTCTGTCAAGTCGAAGTTAGTCGCGGACGCTAGCTCTCGACATCTCGAAAGATGTTGATCTTAGTTTTAGTCCTCTTTTTGTCTCAAAGTCTGCTTGCCATGGTCCATAATGTTTGAACAAAACAACAACAGCGTGAGCGTCCTGCTAAGCATAACCCAGTTGTCCACGTCTGTCGCCATGGTTACTATGGCAGTGCGAGCGGAAACCGAGGCTAACGCGGATATGACACCATTGACTGGCGACTCCTCACCCCTGCTCACACGCCCCGTTTCCTTGGTTAAAATCGCAATTTTCTCACGATTTACAAATAGTTGGAACCATTGGGGATATTGTAAGTAATCAACTAAACAAAATATATAACATTGGCCTAGTGGTTTTTGGATATTTTACTGCAAAAATCCTACATATTGTACCTTTAAGTTCAATTCAGCTATAAATCAGCTCTACTGAAGGCAATAGTGTCCTAGTCCAGTTTTCTTCTCATCCAAAAGCGTCAGTGCAGTCAAATCTGTAATATTACTGAATATAAAATTTCTTGGTTTCCTGCTGATTAACCCAAAGGGAGTCCCTGAATACTCTTTGAAAACTTCTAACCTGGTTTTACATCGAACTACCCATAAATACCTCTATATCTGCCCCTAAAGACATCCACTGTGTAAAGGTATGGGTTAAAAAAAAGACTGTGTCAAGCTTGTTGAACTCAAATGGACTGTAAGTGATGTATGGTGGCCTGAAGGTCTAGGACAGGAATCAAAGGTTCTCCTATGGGACTCCTAGTTTTTTTTTTTTTTTTTGTGGTCTAATGTAAAAAAAAAAACACCAAACAAGGATTTCCTTTCACTATCTATTGCATCTGATAAAACACTAAGATTTCCAGCCCCTATCGAGAGACACATGCAGATGTCTCGGTAATCTTCGAGACGATACAACTTCCACAAGTACGGAAAACTTCAGCATCTTGATTCGATTAATGAAACAACCTGTTTACTAATCTTGATGTATGCACTCTGGCACAGTTGTGCTCTCTGAATCTGTGGCGATCTCCAGTGTTTAACACCCCGGCTGTAAGTGGCAGCTTATGCTAACAAAAGAAGATGTGTCCTTACCAAGTGGCCAGCTAAGCCAGACTTATCAGGGTGGCGTTGCGTTGGCTTGACCTCAGGCAACAGGTGGGGAGGGCAAATCCCTCATGGAGGCAGGATTGGAGATGCTAGTGTGTGTTTTCCATCCACGCTGTACATCCATGTAATCAGTCGATCGCGGGTTGGTCTGTGTGGATATTAAGTAGCCTACTATACCAGTTTCTTAGAGATTCCTTCTCATGGTGATGACTTCTCCTCCGGGATATACGTTTACATTAACATTTCTTCCGGCCACTCTGGAGGTGGGCTCGGGATTTCCTCACCCTTTGACATAGTTGGTTACGCAAGTCTGAGACTAGTTGATCGTGGCTTTGCAATTTAAATCAGTTTTGGAAATTAGGCTGAGTCCTGTCCGGGTTTTTAGGATCCCAGATCTGAAACACAATTCCACATTGGCAAAGTGAACACTGTGCACTTGGTACGACAAAGAAAGCAGCAGAAATTAGCTTTTTTTTTTTTTTTGGACAAGGCAGGATATTGTAGAACAAAACCCTGAAATGTATCAAACATAACACATACTCAAAACAAACCTTATGTACCTAATTTAAAACAAAAAACTACACACACACACAAAAAAACAGGTGGAGTAAAACAGATACACAGAAAAACCTGAAATACATCAGGCTTCATACAATCAAACCTGTAAGTTATTTATAAGACAATTTAGCCGCACGTGGAATAAAAGAAAGTTCATGTCTTTTTGTTTTCCTCCAGGGAACAACACATTCCCAAGCCGGGGAAGCAGGTGGATGTGTTTGCTCTCATGCAAAACCTTGCATTTTAAGGCTTCTCTTATATCAGTGATGTATTAGTTAAAGTAGTCCAATCTATTAAAAAAAGACCATTTCACCAAACATTTGTGTGTTCTCTATTCCATTACACTTAGTAGAGTATCATATTGTTTGCTTGGCAACATGCAAACTCTATCAAAGTCAATCGTGAGTCAAGTCTCCCATGCAGAGGGCAATTTGTAAAGTGCACAGAGTTTGTCCCTATGCTGAGCGTTTCAAATCAATCCCTTATGATGTTCCTCTCGGTTACGATGCCTATGTAGACAGCACGGCAGCCAAGGTTTTGCAACAGAGCTGTTAAGTGAAGCCAGGAAATTTAAGTAAATCTTTAAGGGTCTTTCACCGTCCGTCATATATGGTTTAGACCAAGCACTTGACTTGTTTACATCAAAATGTTTAAAAAAAAAAGTTAATTTAGCCTGAAATGAATTGTCAAAATCGAATGTTTTTCTCACTTTATAGTGACTTTCTGCAAATCCAAATTAAATATGATCGCAGTGAGGTTTGTCTTAAAATTTTAAGGTACTTAAACTAAGCTTATTCCTTCCAGACTTACCATGTGCCATGTGAAGCTTACAGGCTGTCCAAATCCTGGTTTGGATGTCCTCTCATACGGAGTCTTTCGTGCGCAAGATCCCTCCGTGCGTGTGTGTATAGCGATGTGTGAGAGCAGGAGTTTGCGTGTGTATGTTTTTAGGGGTGTGCGCATGGCGAACTCTCCTCGGTCCCTGTCAGTCTTTCTCCACCCTGTGTGTGAGACTCCTCCTCTACCAACACACTGATCACTGGATGGGTCGGATTACCGTAGACTTTAATCGCTTCTTGGATCTCCCCCTCTCTGGCTGGACGGGGCCTGAGGATGCTCACAAACCAGGGCACAATGAACAAGGGCTGTAAACACCTAGTGCACACCACATGCTGGACACCTGTGATGTGGGACAATCCATATAATTCACACTTATCCTGCCAGACAGGCTTCAGAGAGTGTCACTAACTCTGTCTATCGCTGGCTCCCAACCAGACTTCTAATCTTTAATTAATGTCATTTAATTATTTTTGTGTCTCTTGTGGATGCATTGCAAGAGATACAAAGAAAGCAAGCTGCTCTGTGAAGGCAATTAAATCAAGTTGCTATAAAAAAAATTATATATAATGACCAGGAGCATGCTAAGATGCAAATTTTAAGAAGTGCAAATAGACAATTTTCAGTAGCTCTGCCCACTATTGCTCAGATATTTTACCTTTAGTACAGATACTTCTGTTTAAACTATCACTATTTGCACTTAGCGTAAACAAGATGCTATTTATACTTGGTGCAAACAGAATCTACCATTATTTGTACTCAAAGTAATTAGCTACTGTCCAAATTGTCATCATAGCAGTTCATTTCTGTGAGTTACTAGAGTTGACGAAAACTATGCCACCGTTTCAAGCTGATATCAGCAGATTTTGTATTACAAGTAAAATAATAATTTGTTAAAAGCCCTTCTAGGGACAGGTGTTGCGAATTAGCCACGGCTATAAACACTGTGATATAGGCATCAGATTTTTTTTATGTAATAATCTATGTTTTTTTTGTATCTGTCCCTATTCTGTCCCATTATTGCTTAAGACCCATTATTATGCCTTGGCTTTCAATTCAAGTTGAGCTTTGATATCTTGACCTATTGTTGCTTATTTTTATTGTATATTGTGTATTGTTTGTGTATTTTTATTTTATTTTATTTTTATCTTGAATTTTGTTAAGCACTTTGGTCAATCATGGTTGTTCTTAAACGTGCTATATAAATAAACTTGAACTGAACTGAACTATTCAAAATAAACAACAAATAAATAAAATAAATTTCAGTGTGATTATTTTCCCCTCAGAAAATCTGTGAAATTATGATTATTTAATAACAATATAATTTATTACAATTAACGATATCATTTATTTACTATAGTGTGAATTGAAGGTTATATCAATAATTGCCATCCATTGTTGATAATATATTTGATAATATAACATTATTTGATAATATATATTTGAAACGTTGTGTATTTAATGTACCTGTAATACAGTCTGCAGTAAAGATGCAGACATGCGCATCTTTTTATCACCTTGTCGCTGAATTTCTTGTTTTTTATAGTCTTTGTCTTGTGATGTTTTCTTTCGTCGTTCTTCAAAATGCAAATGTCACCTTTCAGGTCAATGGGAGCACAACGCTTTTCGCCACGCTTTTTGAACGTTTAGCTTCCCCTACAGCTCATAACTGAATTGAATGGGCTGCATGACGCTCAAGGATTACTGTGATATGTAGTTTGGCATGCGTTTGTGAATGACTTCAGTTCTAAAATAAACAACTAAATAAAATCACTAGGCCTTCATGTAATCTCTTTTTTGCTTGTGTGCCATTGGTGCATGTTAACGCAAGCACACGTACCGGTTTGTCAAGTTTTTCTTGCTCTCTGACCTTTGACTTAGGGTATTCAGGCTATACTTTCCGTTAATCTGCTTTGAAATGAGTGTGATTCGTGCTATAGAAAATAAACTGACTTGACTTGAGATTTGTTTTGACGTGACATGCATTTCACTTGGTTTGTAGTTGTGAAACGCTGCATGTTGTCCCTCACCTCACAGGAAAATAGCTTGAAACTTATGGCCGTTAACCAAAGATGCAGTCTTCCGGGAAGAGGAAGTGTGAGACTCTACAGGGCTCCTGAGAAGGTCCATGCGAGGTTATTGACTCGTACACTCCCTGAAACGCATCAGCTCTCAGCATAAAGAGTGTTAGAGTCAGTTAATGCAAAGCAGATGGAAGACCTTCACAAAACATAAATGTCTAACTGTACGGCATCATTCTGCAACCTGTCCGAAGTCTCGAGCAACTCCTGACTCAGAGATATCTGACTCTCGTAACATTCCTACCGCGTGATTCAGCACCTGGATGGAGAAAGAAAAGTGTGTTTAACAGTGAAGCATGTCTTTGCTGAGAGGATAGAAAGATAGTTTATTTAACTTGTTTGATGTTAAACTTGGAAAGAAGAAACTATTTTAACATGCAAAGACAACTATGAATCATTTATAGCTTGTTTCTCTTGAACACTCTAAGGGTGTGTCTGTCCACACTACTGCGTTTTCGTTTAAAAACGGAGAATTAAAACGAACACGATCTCCGTCCACACCAGCGTTTTATCTGCGTATTAGAATTGATCTCCGTCCACATTAAAACGCCTGAAAACGCGGATCACGTGACCATTCACGAACACTGGGCATGCGCGTGACGGATTGACATGTGATGGGTGGCTGACGAATCAGGGAAGGATACGTCATGACTGATGACACCCAATCATAGAGCCGAGCGTGAGCCTCTGCGTCAGCGTTTCTAAAGTCCTCCGTTTTGTCCCGTCTTCACTAAAACGCCATCCGGAGATTCAAAACGCAAAACGGAGCTGCAGCGTTTCTAAACTTCTCCGTTTTAGTCTGGACGGGAGGTGCAAACGTAGCAAAAGGTCTCCGTTTTTAAACGAAAACGCAGTAGTGTATATACCTAGAATATCAAAATCGACTGCTGGCGGTAGATCCTTTTCCTATTTAGCACCAAAACTTTGGAACAGTCTTCCTACCATTGTCCGGGAAGCAGACACACTCTGTCAGTTCAAAGCTTGACTAAAAACACATCTCTTTGGCCTAGCACACACATAATACATTATAGACTTCGATAATTCAATGTTAGGCTGCATAGATTAGGTCAGCCGGAACTGGGAACACTTCCCTTAAATCCAGATGTACTCGCTACATCATAAGAAGAATGGCATCTACGCTAACTTTAGTGTCTTTGTTTATCCCGAGGTTTTCCTGCAGCCTGCCGGATCCAGGCCGTATCCAGATCTGACGAAGGAGATTCGCCTGGACCCGATGACAATGCAGTGCTGAAGTGTCAACTATCCTCTCCCTATGGAGGATCCCTTTCCCACTCTACAGATAAAGCGTTGTTGAAAATCCGGTTCGCGTACCCCGAAGTGATAAAATAAAATTCTGTATCAAATTTATAGGCAAGACATGTAGTTTGTTTAGGCATGGTTTGTAGGGAAATTACAAACCTGCGCACACATATTCAAACGAATATAACTATAGAATCAATTTTTAATGCACATGTGAACGCCATCAGGTCACAGGTTCGCGTTTAAAGTCTGTTTAGAGAGAACGCCGTCGTCTTAGTGGCCCCTAATGTAATAACAAATGATAATTTTGCTGGAAGTGAATCAATCAAAACCAACTTTAGCCGGAAATAACATTATTCAAAATCGCTATAAAGCCAAAACAATCTCTGTTACCGTAAATTGTATGTTTATCTCTGTAAAGCTGCTTTGAAACAATCTCCATTGTTAAAAGCGCTGTATAAATGAAGATGACTTGACTTGACTAGTGTGGACGGGGCCTTAGGGTGTGTTCACACTAGTTCGGTTTGCTTGGTTCGTTTGGTCTAGACCAGGGGTCTCAAACTCAACTTAACTGGGGGCCGCATAAGTATTCCACAAAAAAATAGTATTCAAGTATTCCAAAAAAGGAGCACAACTGATCCAATCTTCTCAATC